GGTTTTATGGCCTGCAGCATGCAGGGGGTCAGACCAAATGATCATAATGGTCCCTTCTGACCTTAAAGTCTATGAGTCTATGGCCTAATTATCATGGAAGGCAGCACATTTGGCAATATCTAGAGCTGCTCTTCTAGTTTGAGTGGAAGTGAAAATCCCTAATTACCCCACGGTCTCGCATAGAAATGTAAGAGGAAATCAAAAGGCAAACTTCTTCTGACCTGACTTTTTGTGTGTGTGTTTTCTCACTTTACAGACTGCAATGCAATTGTTCACAAAGGCTGTAAGGAGAGTCTCGCATCCTGTGCAAAAGTCAAAATGAAGGTGAGAGGTTTCATGTCGTCTGCTGAACATGACATTTATTTTGAAGTGTTTTAGCATACAGATATCTTTTGCAACATGTGCAGGAATGGAATTTTCAGTCTGCTGGGCAGAATGTCAGAATCCCTTGTTATGGGGGATCATTTTCCTAAACTCTCCTGAAATGTATGATGCTCGCCCAAATTTTGTAGATTAATTCTGCTTCCCTTGCCTGATGTGAATAGGAAAAAATCATTCTAAGTTTTGTAAAATGCAGCTCTGTTTGTTTAGAGCCAGGGGAAGGCAGGGATGGGGACAAGTGGTGGAGGAAGGGGGAAACAAGGACTGGGACATGGAGCTGAGCACGGGGGAGGGGAAGGAGGTTGCTCATCTCCCTCTAGTGACTGTCCCATATAAAGGATGCCAACCTACTACTGCTGTGAGTTACCATGTGAGCCTAAGTGACAGGTCTGTGCTGTGGATCTAAAGACTCCAGCAGTGCTGCTGATTTTTATATATGTGTATATATATATATATATATGGGAGTCAATATGGTTCCACAATATAGAATTTGTTTTCTAGGTGTGATTAAAAAAAACCACTAGGATATTACATACAAAAAAAGCCTACTGTATGAGAACATTATGGTTGAAAAGTCAAGCAGTCAAAAGTTAGTAAATACCAGAATTAAGGTTTGCCCTCTTGTGCATATGCATAATGATACAGTCTTTACATGATCCACAGGACCCTGCTTCATTCAGTGCAGAGACTGGACAGTGCTCAGGAAATGAATCAAACTTGTGTAGTTAGTGTGGCAGCTGTAGGTAGGACTCCTGCCTCATTTGTTGTAGAACTTGGAAGGTGTGTAGTGAATGAGGCTGTGGATTGCAGGAAGAAGAAGGATAGTCTTGTTGTTTAGTCATTCAAATGCCACCCTGCCTCTGCCACAGCGTTCCTTTGTGATGCTAGACAAGTCACTTAAACCAAACTTTTCTAACATGACCCCTGTGTCCTTCCCTTTCTTGGTGCCTAACTTGAGATCTTGAGGTCTGATTTGCAGAAGTACAACTGAAGTCAGTGGGAACTCTGTTCTGAAGAGATATAGTGCTATGTTCTCCGAAGAATCAGGCTACGGGCAACTCAAATCAGACACCCACAATTAATGGACACTTTGACATTACTGCTTCCGTGCCTTAGTTTCCCATCAGTAAAACGGTAAAAAATAAGAATAATTGAGTAAACTACTCTAACCTACACTCCATATTCCCCAAATCAGAAGAGTTTGCCCATATTTACCCTTGACTACACTACTGGGAGTAACAATACCTTACCTCATGGGGTGTGTGAAGATCAACTAATTAACATTTGTGAAACACTCAGGTGCTACATTGAAAAGGCCATCAGGAGATTAATGCTTCTCTATACAGAGTAGGGTTTGAATAGCGTGCAGTAATCACAGCGTGGAGCCACGCATTGATCAATGAGGATAAAACAGATACTATAGCAGTTCGTTAATGGAGCGCCTCTTCTCCTGTGCATCTCCATGTGACCAGAGTGAGCATGTACCATCCCACCGAGCAACTGAGCGTGCTGCCGCCCAGGGCTGCACTGGATTTCCCCTGCTATTGCTCCTCCCGGTACCAGGGGCCGCTGTGGCCGTGGGCACAGGAACCCAGAGCAGGAAGATACTCTCTTCTGTGCCCTCCACACTCCCCTGGCAGCAGGGAGAGGAGCTGGGCCTGGGTGCGGTGGGTACGGTGAGCAGGGAGATTGGGATGAGATTGCAATGAAATATAGACTAGCTCCCCAGTCTGTTAGCACCGTCCATCTTGTGCACTGAATGAGGCATGGATCCTATAGAAAAAATAGCATCTGTTCCTGTAACTGGATTACAACATAATGCATGTGCACCATGGGGCCAAATTAAGGTCACACGGGCAACCTTAATTTTGACATTTTTTTAACTTTTAAGTGCTAGACTTCGCAACTTTAATATTCTTTCAAGGCAGTTTTTGTATGTTAATATAGATGAGCACCTCTGATTGGAATTCCTGGTTGTCCCATGTGCGGGGAGCCCCCTTCTCATCCTGGTTCGCCAAGCCACCATGCTCTTCCTGTTCCAGGCTTTCGCTCCTGTCTTTAAATCATAAGCTGTTTGAGGCAAGGACTGTGTTCACCCTGCTGAGCACATTTAACAGCTAGCCACTACAATTATGTATACTGTTCCCTCAGTGATCCTTTTGGCTTTAATACACTTAGCTATCTAGCAATATCAGAACTATATCAGGATTATTGTCTCCCTATTTTACTTCTTATTGCAAATATTTCTCCATATTTGATAGCATACCTTGTGATGGCTTGGACTGTATCACCATGCTGAAGATGCTGCTGCTTGTAGATACCCAGGGCACTGTATCTGGGATCTAAGCTGTTCTGAGGGAACTCGGAATGGTGTTACTGCGTGATTAAAATAAGGTGTCTGTGGATATACACATCCCTTTATTTATGTTGGGCGGGAAAAATTAAACCTCTCTCTTTTTCTTTCAGATACAAAAAGGGATGCTTCAGGCACACGATACCTCTTCGTTACCCACAGTCATTATGAGAAACAAGAGTAAGAAGCCTTCCCTTCCCTCTTTTCTGGTGTAGCTCCCTAAAAGTTCCTATTTTTCATTGTATTCGGTATAATCTTTTACCATCGTGTTCAACTATTATCCATTTCAATAAGATGAAAGAGAAAACATTTTAGGATGCAGAAGTAAAGTGATTATATTCTGTGTGATAAGCAACGATTGGGATTTTAGAGGCATTGCTCATGTTGTGCAAATGGTTGGCCCAGTTCTGTGGTACCCATATAAGCTTATGCAGATACAAGCTATGGAAGAAAGAGGCCGTGTTTTCCGTATTGGAGACAGTATTTTTAGTGATCTAGTTCTTTTCTGTTGGTTACACAATGCAATGGAGCTAGAATTTGACTGTAGCTGGCCAGCTGAGAATTCTCCTGGAGTGAGTGAACTCTCAGCTGGAAAGAAGACATCAGAGGTGTTACCTGGGTTATTCATAAACTGGGAGAATGTTTAAAACAATATTGAACTGAGTGTATTGTTCAATGGGGAAGGCCAAACTGGGCCATTTCAGTAAGTAGCTCTTGTCAGATGGACCAGCAGCACCACTGTGGGAAACAGGAAGGCTGACCAGGGAAAGAAAAAAGAGGGAGTGAGATGCAGGGGCTAGTGATGATGTGGAGAGATGACCAAGCCCTTCTACATAACTGGAGGGTCTTTCTCTCTGCATTGTGTGAACTGATGGATAGTCAGAAATTCAGTCCGAAGAGGGGTCAGGGCAAATCGAGGGTTGGAAGAGCTCGAAGGAGGTGATAAGAGCACCAAGACAAGTTGCTGTAAGTGACTGTTTCAGTCATTTTGTAATAAAGTTCTGTTCACCTTCCCATGATAGTATTCCACCCAACCCTCTCTTCCAGCAGGCAGTACAGTGAAGGGTCAAAGGTCTTTCCTTCCCCCACTAGGAAAGCCCAGTGTTCCGTCTGGTGCTCTGCTCACCACTTCCCTGCACAGGAACACAAGCGAACCATTGAACAGTCTCACAGAAGATGATGACTGATCATTTACCTTGTTCATTTTTTCCTATATTGCCGTAGAAGTTATTTATACATAAGAATATTGTGTCTTAAGAGTTTGGAACTGCCCAGATAGGTCAAACAAATATAAATTACGTTGTTCAGTGTGGGCTCCAGACTTACCTGGGGACTACTTCTGAAGTCTTACTCCGGCAGAACTACTCAAGTGCATGAAAATTATGTCCTGAGCAGGGATTTCAGGAATGGGCCCTGTGTTAACAAACCAGTAAAGACAGAGAATGAGGCTAGATTTCAATGGAGCTATAACAATTGATACCAGCTGAAGATCTGCCCCTGATTATTTCTAAGCAAAGAGGAAGTGGATTGTTAGAATCTTGCTTGGTCGAGTCGTCATAATGAGTTTAGCAAGGAGTTTGGATGGTGTTTCTTATCAGATATTTGGCATTTCTCTTCTAGCCTCACAACCTAAGGAGCGCCCTCGGTCTGCAATACTTGCCCCTGATGAAAACACAGTAACCTCAATATTCAATAACAGGAGATCACAGCAGACCACAACACTTTCAAAAAGCGTCTCAATACAGAACATTGCAGGGTAAGCCTGTGTGTGTACAGTAAGCAACCTACATTATTCCCCACATTTCATTAGGAATACATTTATGGGTGTGTCTCACATATATTCTATCGCCACATATGCAGAAAGACAAATACTATATACTGTCTGAGGAAAGGGTCAAGATGCAGTTGCTGTGGGAACTATAACTTCAAATTTCCTGTGTGTTGGGAATTAAAATTTTCAACAGTTTGCATGTAATGCAGCCATTCAGAACTCAAGCTGGTAAAAGCTCCATACCATCACACATCATCATGCGTTTTGTCTTTATGTATAAAATAATTACATACACACGTGGAGTGCTGCTATACATAAAGAGTTTCCATGATCATTAATTCTCTCTTCCATTTTCTCTAACACCAGTGATTTTAGAAAACCCTGTTGGATGTGTGTTTGCAGAGCTGTGAAGGGGAAAATTATCAAAAGGCTCAGTTTAGAAAAACATCCACAAGATTAACTGCTTATCCAAATGTTATATGAATTTCATTCAGCTAGAACTTTGCATGTACAGACCCTTGAGAGATTTCCAATATTCCTCAGCATTCGCTGAGCTGGAAAAACAGTACCTTGAAAATAAGGCATTGGAATGGCAATACAAAAATGAAAAGTAATTAAATTAAGTTTACCAAACTCTTTCAGACCTCAAATATTCACTTCAGGTTTTAGGGAAATGATTATTTCAGTTAGAAATGTAGATGATCCAGTTTGTTGAGCCCTAATTTGTAGTTATTAGCACTGTATATAAAGTATATAAATACATGCGCGCACAACACATATACCTGTGCATAATCGGCAACATTTAGTGCAGCTTTCAGTTTTATTTAAAATTATATTTGTTTTATGTACTTTAAAAAGTGATTGATTTTAAGTTTTGGGGTCCTGAATGGGGTTCTGCATTTCCTTTTTTCTGCAGAGTTGGTAATGATGAAAGCATGATACAGACTTGGAAATTCCTGTCACAGTCAACAGACTCTTTACATAAAATCAGCCGAGTGAATGAATCCACGGAGTCGCTAACTGATGAGGGTAAGAGATCCCAATGTATTTGTACAAACACAGATGCATCCCCAGCAAATGGATGGTCTCAACATTGATTTTTAGAAATACTAAATCCTTTAAAAGTGTTTTGATATCAGATTTGTTTTCTTTGCTGGAAGATTGAAGCTTATTTACATAAGAGAAAGTATAAAGAAAGACAAAAAAGCAAGGCCCCATATAGTAATTTCTTTATAGGCTAGAGCATTTTAGCATATTCTGAGTGGGGGGAAAATATATGAAGCATTTTATTTACATTTGAGTTATGTGGGCGGTGTTTATAGCTCAGAGGTACACCTTCTTCCCCATCTTTCATGCTTTGTCTGTTCTTCCAATCTATTTGTACATCTACATATCCCTATATATTTTACTTTTTTCATATTGGCAGGTTCAAAATATATTTTAATTTTTTTTCAGTTAAATTTACGAATCCAATGTACATCAAACCAAAAAACGAAGTTATTTTTTAAGCAAGGGGTGCTCTAAGGTATAACTAGTCCTTAAATGTTTTATATCTTAGCCGACGCTGGCCTGAAAAGTACAATATGGTTTTAATTCATTAGGACAGGGGTCGGCAACGTTTGGCACGCGGCTCGCCAGGGTAAGCACCCTGGCGGGCCGGGCCAGTTTTATTTACCTGCTGACGCGGCAGGTTCGGCCGATTGCGGCCCCCACTGGCCACGATTAGCCGTCCCAGGCCAATGGGGGCATCGAGAAGCGGCGCAGGCGAGCGATGTGCTGGCCGCGGCTTCTCGCAGCCCCCATTGGCCCGGGACGGCGAACCGCGTGCTTACCTGGCGAGCCGCGTGCCAAACGTTGCCGATCCCTGCATTAGGAACTGAACAGAGGATATGATGACAGAGAAATTTCCCAATTGCCAGGAATTCTCACATGTTGTGTCCAGGCAACAAATGAACAATTTCTTTCTAAAATGTACATAATCTTCAGTTCCGGGCACATCAATTATTGCTTTCTAAGCTTGAAAATACAGATTTCACAACGCGCTCCTTAACGGTTCTGTTAATTTACTGAAGTAAACAAAGGAGGGTAAATTGCATATTAATTACCATGTAATTACATGGTAGATAACTGGTTCTTGCTTGTCTTGTAAACCAGAGTTCAGTATACATGATAATTGTGGACTTTAGCAAGTAACCTGTAAAAGTAGTTTGCGTTGTTTCGTACTTACCCAGTAAAATTTGACATAATTGTTTCCATGTCAGTAAAGGAGAGTGGATATGATGTTTGTGGCATTCAGAACAAAGCCTAAATCTGTAGACTAGGCAATGGGACTTTCAAATGGGACCAGATATCTGTTTATGCTGCTTTTATGCAGGTGCAGACATGAATGAAGGACAGCTCATGGGGGACTTTGAGATGGACTCCAAGCAGCTGGAGGCAGAATCCTGGAGTCAAGTAGTGGACAGCAAGTTTTTGCGGCAGCAAAAGAAGGATATCGTCAAACGGCAAGATGTCATATATGGTGAGATGTTTATTGGTTAAAGAGAAGTGATCCAATTTAGTTCGTAGAAACCTCTAGGTTTGGATGGTCTGTTCATATTTTTTAGTTTGTGACTAATTTGGAAACTTTAATTAATTAATGGAGATATCCCATCTCCTAGAACTGGAAGGGACCTTGAAAGGTCATCGAGTCCAGCCCCCTGCCTTCACTAGCAGGACCAAGTACTGATTTTGCCCCAGATCCCCAAGTGGCCCCCTCAAGGATTGAACTCACAACCCTGGGTTTAGCAGGCCAATGCTCAAACCACTGAGCTATCCCTCTCCCCTTTAAGTGAAAGGGAGTTTGCCATTGACTTCACTGGGGCCAGAATTTCATTCTTGGTTTTTACTGGAAATAAAGACCTCCAATGCCATCTTAGTAAGCTTTGGAATTCTGGATTTCACTTACCTTGAACCATCCAAACAAATTGCAACTCTGGTTTGTCTGGTGATGACCTTTATACACAGTTACCCATGAGTACAGAGTAGTCAATTACTTGTATTAGCATCTTCTCCCCCTTGATATAAGAGTCCTCTTTTGCTACACAGAAAAATAACTATATTGAGAGGAGCAACATGGTGTTTTGCTATTATCATCTGTCCTTCTGCAGTGTTCAAATTCCAGCATAATGGCCCCCAAACTTTTTACCTCCCCCCCGCCCCCCTTGTAGGGTGACCAGACAGCAAATGTGAAAAATCGGGACAGGGGGTGGGGGGTAATGGGAGCCTATGTAAGAAAAAGACCCAAAAATCAGGACTATCCCTATAAAATCAGGACATCTGGTCACCCTACCCCCTTGCCCTTTGCCCTACCCCCCAGCTGCGGTTGGGAGCCAGGTGCCGAGGCTGGGGCTAGGTCTGTGGCTCGGAGCAGAGCCGTAGCTGGGCTGGGACCGGGAGCAGAGCTGCAGCCGGTCCAGGGGCCAGGGCTGGGAGCTGGGGCCAGAGCAGGGTAGGGTTGCACTCCCTCCTCCCCTGTGTGGGGCTGGCCCAGGCCCCATTTCATGCTCTACCCCTCCCGAACGTTCCTCCGTGCCCTCCCTAGAGGGACAGGTCCCACAGTTTGGGGGCCGGTGTACTAGCAGTAATGAAAGCGAGCACTTATTCATATAAATAGAGTATGGGGATGGCTGATCCACCCCCAAGCTATGCCCTACCATGCATTTTGAAAAGAAAAAATGTTTTCACATTGATAATCTAATTAGTAACTATTAAGAGGCAAGAAAAGAATGAAACTGGTATATACCAATGGTATTGGGAAGCCCAAAGTGTTGCATTTAATGTATTACAGGCTGTTTTCCCCTGAGTTCACATGTATAAATCCCAGTAATACTAGTGCAAGTAACACACACATCAGAATGGGGAATTATGTCCCCATAGCACTTCATTACATTGTTAGCTTCTGTGAGCCCTTCTAACCAACTAGATCTGGTAAGTGCCTTTCCTTGGCTTAGCAATGCCAAGTACTCTGGGTTGATACAGCGCCTTGTCCTAGAAGATAGTAATAATGACTCATGTGCTTCCTGTGTTGGACCTGTCCTTGTCTCATGCAGAGCTGATGCAGACAGAGATGCATCACGTCCGCACTCTGAAGATCATGAGTGATGTGTACAGCAGGGGGATGATGCAGGAGTTGCAGTTTGAACAGCAAATGGTGGAAAAGGTCTTTCCTTGCCTGGATGACTTGCTGAACATCCACAACCAGTTCTTCCAGCGGATTCTGGAGAGGAAGAAAGAGTCCCTGGTGGAAAAAAGTGAAAAGAACTTTGTTATCAAGAGGATAGGAGACATCCTGGTGAATCAGGTGAGTGGTGAGACACCCCTGCATGCTCTAAGCACAAGACTGCAAGCCAGGAACTCCTGAATTACAATTCTCTCTCTTAGGGCAGGTCCACACTTAAAAGGCTGCGTTGGTGCAGCTGCTCTGCTTTAGCGCTTTAATGAAGATGCTCTACACTGACGGGAGAGCTCTCTGCTGTCAGTGTAGTTAATCCACCTGAGCAAGAGGCGGTAGCTACATCAGTCGGAGACGCCCTCCCACTGACGGAGCACTGACTACACCAGTGCTTAGGTCGGTATGGATTTTTCACACCCCTGAGCGACATACACCTCTACCCCGATATAACGCTGTCCTCGGGAGCTAAAAAATCTTAGTGTTATAGGTGAAACCGTGTTATATCAAACTTGCTTTGATCTACCAGAGTGCGCAGCCCCGCCCCCCCGCCCCCGCCCCTCCGGAGT